AAAAAAAAAAAACAAAAACAAAAAACAAAAAAAACACCTTGTAAGCTATTACAGCATGTCTGAAATTTCTCTGAAATAAATAATGTAATTCTGAATGTAGTCTTTCTTCTTCTTCAGACCATTTTTAGTCCTAAAAGTCAGAATAATAATGAGATGAATAAAATCACAAAGTAAACAGTGTATGTATTTCATTTTGGCCCTTTGATTTACATAGAGAATTTTCTTTCTCTAGGTATCCAGGGGCCTAAAACTAAGCTAATACAGCTTTGTAACGTGGCTTATGTGTATTCAAAACCAGCAGGACTTGAGACTGAGATAAATGAAGTCATTTGCTCAAAGCAGTACGCTTGCCATTGAGAAAAATCAGCAACCAGAATGAGCACTGAGTCTCGATTCATTTCTCCAGGCTTAAGGTTTTTTTTTTTAGCTACACTTCTCTAACATCGTTTAGTGAAATTCTTCCCAAAAGAAATGTGTCAATATGTCATAACTTGATTTCCAAGTACTAAGAGACTACTAATTTAGACTTTTCTTTATAATTGGCATGGTTTACTCATCCTTTTGGAAGTTACTAGGAACTATTTTCCAAAGATGCCAGATGACTGCCTTGTAACTATTTTTTTAAATCTCTGTGCTTCAGATATGAATCTGAAAAGCTTCAAGAGGAAAATTCTATTTTGAGAAATGAAATTACTACTTTAAGTGAAGAAGATAGCGTTTCTAACCTGAAATTAGAGAAATTAAATGGATCTCAGGAAGAAATGTGGTAAGACATATACTTACATTTTCCTAGGACATTTTTGCAAAGACTGAAATTCTTTTACATCAACTTTTAAAGGCTTGCCATTGAATTTTATTTTCATCATCCCTTTAGGCAAAAAACAGAAACTGTAAAACAAGAAAATGCTGCAGCTCAGATGATGGTTGAAAAGTTAAAGAAACAGGTAAGGAAATACTTAATATTTCTCAATGTTTTTTGATTCCAAAATTTTCCCTTTTTTTGAAATTTGTAAATTGACAGCGCACGCTAATGAATAGCATATAGCTAATGACAGTAAGGTTGTAAATTCTGAATTTGAAAATGGAAACTTACCTTATACTGACTCTAAACTAGCTTCCTATTTTATATTAAATAATGTATATATTATTCTAGACCCCAAGAGCTTAATAAAGCTTTATAATCAGCAAGGTTAAGGAGGCGGTACCTCCAAAACCATACCTATGAAATACTAGCTCTAGCCCTTGTGCAGTTTCAGTTAATGTTAGCCCTTTTTCCTCACCATGATTGAAAGCAGAAACTTAAGGACAGAATTTTACATATACAGAATGCCAACTAATCAGCATATCATTTCTCAGAATTACAATTTATTCAGATAGCTGGTGCCATTCAGTGCTCAATTTGTATAATCCTACAACATGTAGTTATAAAAAAGGGAAGGCCGTGTAAGAATCTGTCTGAAGCAGTAAAAAGACAAGGACATATTGGGAAAGAGTATTTTCAGCACTTCAAATAGACAATGTGTTAACATCCAAAATGTATTTTGGACTCTTACAAATAAGTGGGAAAACCCAGTTGAAATGTAGGCAATCTATGTGAATGCTCAAGTCACAGAACAAAAGGATACAAAAAAGGGTTAGCCTTATTAGTGATTAGAGAAGTAGAAATTAAATGTTTCTTTTTTTAACCTATTGAATTTGCAAAAAGTAAAGATTGATATCATCTAGTATTTAAAAGGATGTGAGGAAATGAGTGTGCCCATACATTGTTGTTAGAATTATAAGGCGGTAGCACTGTGAGGAAGACATATTGGAGATATCTGTTGAAACAGTAATGTGCGCGCATGTGCGCGCACACACACACACACACACACACCCCTTCTAACCCAGCAATCCTACTTCTAAAAAGTTCTAAATACAGAATGCTACTATGTATAAATGGATTTTCTAAAAAAAAAAAAAAAAAAAAAAACCTTTATGTCTATCTATGTGGGAATGGATAAATTCATTATGGAATATCTCACATGGAATATCCTATAGCCAATAAAAAACAGAGCTGTGATGTTTGCTGAACACACTGACTTGGAAAGAGTCTGTTTTTTTTTTTTTTTTAAGACAGTTTCACTCTTGTTGCCCAGGCTGGAGTGCAATGGCATGATATTGACTTACTGCAACCTCTGCCTCCTGGGTTCAAGTGATTCTTTTGTTTCACCCTTCTGAGTAGCTAGGATTACAAGCGCATGCCACCACCCCTGGCCAATTTTTATATTTTTAGTAGAGACGGGGTTTCATCATATTGGTCATGTTGGTCTCAAACTCCTGACCTCAGGTGTTCTGCTTGCCTTGGCCTCCCAAAGTGCTGGGATTACAGGTGTGAGCCACCGTGCCCAGCCTGGAAAGAGTCTTTAAGATACTATAATAAGAAAAAGCAAGCTGTCCAAACTAAAGAGAAGAAAAGAATCTGTATGTGTGTATGAGTTCTGTATATGTGCAGAAAATGATCTGGAGGGATACATATCCAGCTGTGGGCAACTGGACTCCCCTGTGGAGTAGACTGAGTATCTCATTTCTTCATATACTTCTGAATTGATTGGATTTGTAATAATGAGTGTGTATTATTTGTTATGAAATATGTATATTTTAAAATTTGCATAGAGGGAAAAGACAATTATGTCTCCAATTTTTTTTTTTTTAGCACAAGTAGGGTAACAAGTTTTAAAAACTTATTTCAATTTTAATTAGATTTCAGAATTAAAAATAAAAAACCAGCAGTTGGATTTGGAAAATACAGAACTTAGCCAAAAGAACTCTCAAAATCAGGAAAAACTGCAAGAACTTAATCAACGTCTAACAGAAATGCAATGCCAGAAGGAAAAAGAGCCAGAAAGCAGTACATTGGAGGAATGGGAAGAAGAGAAGTTTAATCTGAAAGAAGAACTGGAGCGTTGTCAAGTGCAGGTATGGTCTGTAGCCACCCGACAGCCTTTTTTTTTTTTTTTTTTTTTTTTTTTTTTTTTTTTGAGGAAATCCCAAGAAATAGAAGAAATCCTTGTGTTAAAAACTTCCTCAAACATAAAGTCTTAGTAATTAAAACAGTATGGTCCTGGTGCGTGAAAAGTAGGTAAGTGGAATAGAAAGGCTAGAATTAGTCCCAAATACAAATAGAAACGTAGTATACAGCAAAGTTCCTTTTCAAACCACTGGGGTAAAGGTGGACTTTTTAATTAATGGTGCCTGAACAACTGGGTAGACATTTGAAAATGGATAAAATTAGACCCATATTTCATTCCACACACAAGAAAAAACTTCAATTGGATTAGGAGGTGAAATATAAAAAGTAAAACTATACAAATACTTAAAGAAAATAGGGGTGAATTTTTCTTTAACACTGGTGTAAAGAAAGGCTATTTAACTCAAAAATCAGAGGCAATAAAAAAAATTGATATTTTAAAAAAATTTTGCATGGCAAAAAAAATCATAAAGTCAGAAGACAGCTGACAAACTAGGAGAAAATATTCACAACACATACCACAGTGAGAAGGCCTAATCCCTAACAGTAAAAAGCTCTTAGAAATGGAGGGACATGGGACCAAAAATCTGATAGCAAAATGGGAAAAACATACCAACAAATAAATCACATAAAAAATATAAAAATGGGCCAGGAATGGAGGCTCACACCTGTAATCCCAGCATTTTGGGAGGCCAAGGCAGGAGAACAGCTTGAGCCTAGGAGTTCAAGACCAGCCTGGACAACATAGCAATACTCCGTCTCTACAAAGAGTTTAAAAATTGGCTGGGCATAGTGGCACACACTTGTGGTCCTAGCTACTCAGGAAGCTGAGGCAGGAGGATCCTTTGAGCCCAGGAGCTTGAGGTTGCACCACTATACTCCAGCCTGGGTGAGATCCTATCTCTAAATAATAAAATTATTAAAATGACCCTCAAACCTATGGAAAAATGTTCATAATCACTCAATTAGAGACATGCAAATTCAAACAGCACTTACATGATTTCTCACCTATTAGACTGGCAGCAATTTTAAAATATGACAGCATACTCTGTTGGCAAGGCTGTGGGGAAGCACACACTTTCAGACTTTGCTGGGAGAATGCAAACTGATACTGCCTTTTTGCAGGTATATTTGACAATACCTAACAAAATTACATATGTACCTAGGTTTTGCTCTGGAAATCTCACTTTTAGGAATCTACCCAAAAGATACCACCCCAACAATATGAAAACTCACATGCAGAGGGTTACTCACTGCAGCACTGTTTATATTTGCAAAGCTGTGGAAACAACCTAGATGCTGATACGTGGGAGAGTAGGTGAATAAATGTGGTATGTCCATACCATGAAGTAGTACTGTGCAGCTGTTAAAAAGGAGAAAAAGAAATCCATAGTTATATGAAATGATTTCCAAGACAGACTGTTAAGTGAAAAAGTGCAAAAAAGTATAGAATGCCTTTGTGCATGTAAGAAAGTGATATTTAAAGTTCATGTCCGCTCATTTGTGCAAAAGAAACACAAGAATGATAAACCAGAAACTAAAGAGGGAGGGTGGGAAAGGGATGGAACAGAGAAATGAGAATGTGCTAGAAGGGACAAGGAAGGCAGTGACGCTTCTCTGAGTTTATCTTTTCATATCGCTCTGACTCTTAGAACCATAGTAATGTTTCACATACTCTTCACTTACCCCAAAATAAATGCACAAGTAAAACCAATCAATATGTACTGGTGGGGGAAGAAACCCAAAGGGAACACATGCGTGAACAGATGAGCCTAACTGTATTATAAATGGATAATATAACTACACTGGGGAAGAAAACAATTAAGTAATTCAGAAATTATTATCTTGACTGGATACTATCTGGGCTAAAGACAAGATGAACTGTAACTACGTGCTATGATAATCTTGTCAGTAAACAGGATTCTCATGAGAGGTATGGGTTAGTTATTCGAAACTACTGTATGTATTACTAAAATTGAACAAATAATTAAATATGTTGTAAGCACTAAGAACTAGATTTCTCACTGTTGGAGAAGAAGCGGCCAGTGGAGCAATGAGAAATGCTAAGATGAACCCTCTGATGCTAGATTGAGATCTGAGGTATTTATATAAACTCATGGTTTCTAATATACATACAAAACTAGATAGATACAGAAACATAGATGTGTGTCTATGCATGGAGTGCCCAGACCTTGGTTGCTAAGCACCATTCTCCTATAAAAGGAACCAGGGTTCCCTGTAAAAATGATTGATTCTAGGGCTGGGGCAGAGAAAATATAGGATAAGCCTGGAACATCTCATGGGGCCAGAAGAAAAAAGTATTATAAAAAAAAAAAAAAAGATAAGGCATGTCAAAATGGCACACGCCCCTAGTCGAAGGGGCTCCTAATGCCAAAGCTGGAACAATTTGATCAACAAAATAAATGATAGTATAGAATAAAATAATTATCAAGTAAATATAGACTACAATAAGTATCAGCCAGGGATAGTGGCTCATGTCTGTAGTCATAGCACTTTGGAAGGCCAAGGCAGGTGGATCACTTGAGCCCACAAGTGCAAGACCAGCCTGGCCAACATGGTGAAACCCCATCTTTACAAAAAAATACCAAAATAAAAATTTGTGGGGCATGGTGGCATGACTCTATAGTTCCAGCTATTCAGGAGGCTGAGATGGGAGAATTGCTTGAGCCCAGGAGGTCAGGGCTGCAGTGAGCCAAGATTACACCACTGCACTTCAGCCTTGGCAATAGAGTGAGACCTTGTCTCCCTCCCAAAATAACTGAATAAATAAACGAGTCCATATTGATGTAAAAAAATTAAATAAGCAGGGGGGAAAACCTTTCTTATAATGGAATTCCAACTAATAAATGAAGAAAAAAAGAAAATAGAAAATCATCATTAGGTAAACGCCCCAGTAATAACAGTTGTAGACAACATGCATTGATAGATGTTAAAATTAATAAGCAGAAGTTTGAGGAGAAACAGGATTTGTAGTCTCAAAGTAACTCCCCCAAGAAAAAGACAGTAATTTTACAGAGGAGAAACATGCAAAACCTACCTTGGAAATCATATTCATGCCATTTAAGTGGAAAGTCTTTTACATATAAGGGTAAAAAATGGTCATAAAACAGTGTGTCATTGAGTTCATACTATTGCTTCTTTAATATGGCTTTTTGTGAACCTAGTAAGTTGCCCCAGGCTAAACGTATATGTCTATTATTTGACTTTTTGATTTTTCTCTTAGTCCTCCACTTTAGTGTCTTCTCTAGAGGCAGAACTCTCTGAAGTCAAAATACAGACCCATATTGTGGAACAGGAAAACCTCCTTCTCAAAGATGAACTGGAGAAAATCAAACAGGTGAGGCTGTGTGCAGCTTACGGGGGTTCACAGAACAGTATGTAACTGGAGGGCCCCTGGTGGGCTGGTGTTTCTAGCCACCAGTTGTCCTTTGTATTGAGGCCTGTCAACTAACTTGGTAGCTGAGGACCCACTGCTTGGCAAAATTGAGGACCTGAAGTGCAAAAGCCTATTCACAAAGGCTATTGCTAATTATCCATGTGTCGTTCTAGTTAGGTAACTTATGCATGTTGTACGCACTGAAGTCTTTTTTGTTTGTTTTTTTTTTTTTTTTTTGAGACAGTATCCTTCTTCCCTCTGTTGCCCAGGCTGGAGTCCAGTAGCGTGATCTTGGCTCACTGCAACCTCCATCTCCCGGGCTCAAGCAGTTCTCATGCCTCAGCCTCTCACGTAGCTGGTATTACATGTGCCCGCCACCATGTCCAGCTAACTTTCATATTTTTAGTAGAGGCGGGGTTTTGCCATGTTGGCCAGGCTGGTCTCAAACTCCTGGGCTCAAGCAATCCACCCACCTCAGCCCCCCAAGATGCTGGGATTTCAGGCGTGAGCCACTGCACCTGGCCCACTCTAAAACTCTGTTATCATAAATGAATCCCAACCACTTCAGTTTAAGAAATTATTGTTCTGCTTTCACCTAGCCAGGTTATAAAGTAACATATGTTTGTCTAAAAGGAGGGGTACTGTTTTGCTTGGAACTTTTCTAATTCTGTTCACATTGATTTGTGAGACATTGATGAAGCTGGTCCTTCTCCCTTTTTCTGTAACAAGTATGAGGCATCAGTTCTAGAGCATGATGGCATGCAGTCTCACTTATGAATTTGGCCTTCAGAAGCCTATTTCAAAGTTTCAAACAAAGGCTTAAAACTTTAGGCCAGGCACAGTGGCCCATGCCTTTAATCCCAGTACTTTGGAAGGCCAAGGTGGACAGATTACCTGTGGCCAGGGATTCGAGACCAGCCTGGGCAACAAGACAAAGGCCTATCTCTACAAAAAAAAAAAAAAATTAGCTGGCTGTGATGGCGTGCACCTGTAGTCCCACCTACTCAGGAGGCTGAGGTGGAAGGATCACCTGAGCTCAGGAAGTCAAGCCTTCAGTGAGCCGAGATCACACTGTTGTGCCACTGCACTCCAGCCTGGGCCAGAGAACCCTCTGCCTCAAAAGAAGAAACAAAAAAGGCTTAGTTTTAAATATGAAAATAGGAAAGAGGTCTCACCTTGAAAATTATGCCCTCTCATGGAGAAATGCATTGTTGGATAAAAAAAATTGTGTCCTAAACATTGTCCCGTTTTAATTTTCAGTATTTACAGGAATCTTTCCATTGGAACAATCCTGGTTTATAGTAGGAAGATTTAGTTGTTCCATTTTATTTGTTTGCTTCAGCATCAGATTATTATGGCACTTGTATCTTATAAAATTGTCTTTCTTACATCTGTCTCTTCAGCCTGTAAGCACAAAGTTGTCCTTCCCTGAATGCAGAAACATTCAGTCTGTACCACCTGATATTACTGTTGATCTGATTGACCCCTATGAGTCTTGCTTTCTTAATAGCAAGACTATTAAGTCTTTCATAATGCCTAGTACTGTACTGTTACTCAACAGGTGCTTTCTAAGAATGTTTTCAAGTCAACTGCTGCTATGCAGAATACATTTGTTCTGCTGTGACTTGAGAAGCTGTCTGTCCCATATAAACATAAGAGAAGTTAAGACTCATAGGGCCTTTCTGTGGTGTGGTGAGCTATTTCAAGGCTATTACTACCAACTTTATCCTGATTAAATTGAGAATCCTTTTTTCCTTGACTTTTTGAAAGCCTTTGGGATGATAATGATTGATTTCAAATTCATAGTGTTGGAAATGTGTGCTTTGTGGCTTTGCTAAGCTAAAGAACAGAAGGAAAGGAGCAGAGCTAGGAGAAAAACAACATGAGGAGGACATCCTTCAACACCTTTTTATTGCTTTAAAAAAAAAACCAGAGGCGGTATAAATAGTGTGATGTAGAAATAGCCTGGTCTGCCTTTGGTAGAAAGTTGTTTCATCAGGTACCGGGACCCTTTTGGATCCCAATAAGAGGGCAGTGTCAGCCCATCATTGCTGTTAAACAACATGGACCCAGGAGGCATGTGCTACTCTGTATGACAGCATGATTCACAGTTCACAAAGCACTTTTACATGTTATTTATTGCACTGAAAGGAAACAGTCTACAGACATCCCAAGTGGCATGAAGCTTTCTGGGTGTCTGGAGGGTGGGAAGGCAAGGCAGTGGTTAAAGTAGAAAGTCCTTTCTTAAACCAGTGCCCAGGTACTTGAAAATAAATTTTCCTATATTCTTCTGACTTGTTCAGATTTGTAAGGTATGCTGGATTTGTTGCCAGTTGAAGACAAGATTCAACCCTGAAAGTCTGTTTTGTCTTACTATTCCTACAGCTAAATGTAAAAGAACTTCAGGTTCACGAAGCAGAAAAGATGGTTGTGAAATCATAATGATAATAAAGAATTGAAAAGCCAGGTGAAAACAGAGGAAAGTTACAAACTTATAAACTATGGGAAAGAGTTTAAAAGTGTAAGAAACAGCCTCTTTAAAGCATGGGTTCTCAACAGGGTGAGGGGTTGAGGAATGCTCTCCTGCCTCAGAATATTTATCAGTTTCTGGGCACATTATTTATTTTCACAACTGGGAGCTGCGGGAGTGGTTACTGGCATCTTGTGAGTAAAGCAAGAGATGCTGTGAAACATCCTACAATGCCCAGAATGCCCCACAACCCCCGACAAAGAATTATCCAGCCCAAAATGAGACTAGTACCAGCATTGATGTGGAAGAGCAGTAAGAACACTCTTTGGTTTCTCTTGATTTGATAAAATGGAGAGGAAAAGCCAGTGTGTCCACACCAACAACATTTTACTGGCCAGCCAGCATAGGCATCTTCTGAAAGGAAGAGCACAGGGAACAAGCTGAAAAATACAATTTTAGCTTTAAACTTGCCTTTGGGTGTCACCTTGTATGCGGTTCAGTTCATGCCAATTACAGTCTTTTTTTTTTTTTTTTCTTTCAAGACAGAGTTTCTGTCATCAGGCTGGAGTACAGTCATCTCGGCTCACTGTAACCTCAGCCTCCCAGGCTTGAGTGATTCTCCTGCCTCAGACTCCCAAGTAGCTGGGATTACAGGTGCACACCACCACACCTGGCTAATTTTTGTATTTTTAATAGAGACAGGGTTTCACCATGTTCACCAGGCTGATCTCAAACTCCTGATGTCAAGTGATCTGCCCGCCTCAGCCTCCCAAAGTGCTGGAATTATGAGTGTGAGCCACCCCAACTAGCCCAATTCTATAATCTTGAATGAGATTTTTTGGAAAATATCTTTCTAGTTAAAAAGCATGAGGAAAATATAATATGCTACATGTGTTAAATTGATGACAGAATGGCAGTATGTTATTTTGCCCTGAAGGTAAAATGGAGAGCTGGGATCATTATTTAACAATGTCTGTCTGGTTGAGTCTACCTAAGCAGACATTTCCGCAGTCAACTGGGGAACAGAGAGAAGCCAGAAGAGAATATTTGAAGTTTACTATAGTCTGCTAGAGTTTATGTCTTCTGAAATATCTACAGATAGGCAAATAGCAGCAGCTGTAAAAATGCCTTATTTAGAAATGCCCCTTTGTACTTACCCAGCCAGGAGATGTGATGGAAGGACTCATTTGTTTATCTCTTACAGCTGCACAGATGTCCTGATCTCTCTGACTTCCAGCAAAAAATCTCGAGTGTTCTAAGCTACAATGAAAAACTGCTGAAAGAAAAGGAAGCTCTAAGTGAGGAATTAAATAGCTGTGTTGATAAGGTAGTAAAAATAATAGAACTTTGCCATCATCATACAGAATGTGCACCGTAATGAGCCTTTCTCTGTGGACAGTGGCACAGGGGCCTCCCATGTTAGTCCGTTGTTCCAGGAGTCTCCTGGAGCAGCATCTGTGGCATTCCCTGACGCTAGATTTCCTGCAGCCAAGACTGTGATAAAGTCTAAATTAGTTGTTTACTAATTAAACTCAATAATATAAAATTCCTTTTTTTTTTTTGGTGAGGCAGAGTCTCATTCTGTAGCCCAGGCTGGAGTACAGTGGCGTGATCTTGGCTCACTGCAACCTTTGCCTCCTAGATCCTGGTTCAAGCAATTCTCCTGCCTCAGCCTCCTGAGTAGCTGGAATTACAGGTGTGCACCACCATGCCCAGCTAATTTTTGTATTTTTAGTAGAGGCAGGGTTTCACCATGTTGGCCAGGATGATCTTGAACTCTTGACCTTGTGATTCACCGGTCTTGGCCTCCCAAAGTGCTGGGATTACAGATGTGAGCCACTGCACCTGGCCTGTCTCATCATTGTATCACAGTGCAACTTCATACTGCTATTTTGTTATAAATTATGGGTTTAATAATCTGAGATCAATTTCATAGGCAGTTTCTATTTTATCTTTAGCAGATCCAAAAACACTGCCTTTCTCCCCCCCCACCTGCCTCAATAGGTATTCTGTATTTTCTTCTTATGGTATGCTCTTGAGATTTTTAATTGCCTTCCAGCTTACCATCTTCCACCCTCAAAACATGAGGCAGTAGGAAAGAAAAATAGGAAATTTCCAAAAGAAGCAACTCCTCAAAATTAGAAGTATAACAAGGAGCCAGGAAGACCATCTCCTTCTTTGACCTTGCCCTGTTCCCCCACATAAATAGATGGTTCTTGTTCTTGACAATGTAAGTGCAGGCATATAAATTAAGGCTAGATAATGTTGCAAAAATTCCCTTTTACCTCTTTTCCCTTCCTGAAACAGTTGGCAAAATCAAGCCTTTTAGAGCAGAGAATCGCAACGATGAAGCAGGAACAGAAATCGTGGGAACATCAAAGTGCGAGCTTAAAGTCACAGCTGGTGGCTTCTCAGGAAAAGGTACGTGGACAATTCTTGTTTCATCTTCAGTTAGTATTCTCCTAGATCTTCCAATAGAAATCCCAGTAAAAAGAATGTTCCAGGTGGAAGTAGCATAAGAGGGTTCCAAATGATTCAATTTGACCAATATTTGATGTGTATTTATAGCATGGCAAGGCGTGGTGGCTCACACCTGTAATCCCAGCACTTTGGGAGGCCAAGGTGGGCAGATGCTTGAGGTCAGGAATTCGAGACCATACCAGCCAACATGGTGAAACCCCATCTCTACTAAAAATTAAAAAAAAAAAAAAAAAAAAAAAAAAAAAAGCTGGATGTGGTAGCATGTGCCTGTAGTCCCAGCTATTCAGAAGGCTGAGGCAGGAGAATAGCTTGAACCCAGGAGGCAGAGGCTGTGGTGAGCGGAGATCACGCTAGTACATCCCAGCCTGGACAACAGAGCAAGACTCCATCTCAAGAAAAAAAGTAAATATAGTGTGACAAAATTATTTAAATAATATTTCAAATATATTGTAGCAAAATAATATTTCCCTCAAAGTTTATTAATTATGAAGTCTCGAGAATAGTGCATAAAAATGACTGCTTCTTCCTAATTTATAAACAGGATATCTAAGGCAGGTTTGTGCCCTGTTTTAAAGATATATATCAACATTCCATTTATAAATTTAAATTTTTTAAATTGGAATTTATATGAGACATTAGCATAGAATAGGATTCTTCTTTAAGAGGTGAGGTCTCCCTGTGTAGCCCAGGCTGGATCACCACTCACTGCCGCCTCAAACTCTGGGGCACAAGGAATTCTACCACCTCAGCCTTCTAGGTAGCGGGGACTATAGGCACACACCACCACACTTGGCTAATTTTTTATTTTTTGTAGAGATGGGGGTCTTGCCATCTTGCCCAGGCTAGTTTCAAACTCCTTGGCTCAAGCGATACTCCTGTCTTGGACTTCTAAAGTGCCGGGATTCCAGGTGTGAGCCACCATGCCTAGCCTAGAATAGGATTCTACAAATATATATTTTTATTTTCAACTAAGAGGGTCCTTTACAATCCAACATCACAGGCTAAAACATAATTTCTACAAAATTTAGTGAAACCATCCTTTGTGATGCCAGTTGGCACCCATTGGTTCTGTAAGATACCATTTAGTAATCTACCAGATAACTCTCAGTAGTACCTTGCTCCAGGCATAGCTCAACATTGTCCTATATATGATTTCACATCCTATAAATATACGTACTATCCTGAGTTTCCACTAAGCTACTGACAAGAAACCTGGATTTAGTAAAGAGAAACAAAGGGACCTGAAAGTTCTCTTGTCCTTACTCATTGCTGAACATGCTAGAGATGAGACCACGAGAGGTTTGTGTAGTGGTAAAAGATCGTTCTCATGATACAGGTTCAGAATTTAGAAGACACTCTGCAGAATGTAAACCTGCAAATGTCCTGGGTTAAATCTGACCTACGAGTGACTCAGCAGGAAAAGGAGGCTTTAAAACAAGAAGTGATGTCTTTGCATAAACAACTTCAGAATGCTGGTGGCAAGGTGATTTGTTCTTTTTTTATTTAGGTATAAGTTATTTACGGTAAAGTACATAAATCTTAAGTCTATAACTTGATTATTTTTATGTGTATATGCATGTATATATAAATATGCATATTTTATATATCTTTATGTATGTTTGTGTTTATATAACCATCACTTAGATAAAAATACAGAACATTGCCAGCACCCAACAGGCTCTCTTGTGTTCCCTCCAGTTGGTAACCCCAAGAGAACCACTTTTGTACCCTCTGCCACTGTAGTTTCGGGATGCTTATTTCTAAACTTCACATAAATGAACCATAGTGATATAAGACAGGTCTTTTTTTCTTTTTGTATTGAGCAAGTCAGAAGACCATGGCTGAATTGAGTTTTGTAGTAACAAAACTAAAATATTTTCTAAAGTGGTAGATAAAAGTATTTGTGTGACCATACAAAAATCAAGTGAAGAAAAACACGGCAAGAAATTCATCTGGTAATATATACATAAGCTTGCAAAAAAGTACAACTTCTGCTAAAAAGGCATAAAACAACAGCAGTCAATTTCAGGAGATAATTCATTGCTACAAATAGGTTGTTGCTGTGGCAACAGAAAGTCCAGGCAGAGCTGGTTAAAGTGTTCGCTGGCTGACACATGATAGTGGTGTGGTAAAAAGGGTGTCTCATTTTAATAAGTCACAGTGCTGCCTAATCTGTGCGCAGATACATTAAGAACAATGTGATAGATGTCAGTCTTGGGGTAGATGTTAAGATTTTGTCCTACAGTAAAAGTAGACACTAATTCACTTACGTCTTGGTGGAACTTTTTGTAAAAAAAAAAAAAAAAAAATTCGATAGTTGTTTCTGGCTGGGCGTGGTGGCTCACGCCTGTAATCCCAGCACTTTGGGAGGCTAAGAGTTAAGCCTGGCCAACATGGCTAAACCCTGTCTCCACCAAAAATACAAAAATTAGCCAGGTGTGGTGGTACACACTCCCGTAATCCCAGCTACTTGAAAGGCTGAGGCGCGAGAATTGCTCGAGTCCGGGAGGTAGAGATCGCTGTGAGCTGGGATCGTGCCACTGCACTCCAGCCTGGGTGACAGAACAAGACTCTGTCTCAAANAAATATAGAGTTTAATTTCAGTTAGAAAACCTGAAATCTGGCTTAGGAAGAGTAGGCATTTGGATCAACAATTTCCAATTTACTTGTAGTTTTTCAGGGCAAGTAAGCTAGCAATATGTTTTCTCAGTTTTTGTTCATCTTCGAATACATTAATTTTCCACTTTTTTTTTTTTTTTTTTTTTTCATGTTTGATTTTAAAAGACAGGAGGCTTATATATTTGTGTTATCTTTTTCATTTTTAAAATCATTTTCAAGATCCAAAAAATCACTTTGGTAGCTGAAAGCACATTTCTGAATTCCGACGTTAATTACATGGACAACATGTGCTTTGGATTCTAAAAAAAAAAGGATGTGATTGCATATGTGAAAATGAAAGCAGAGTTTAGCTTGTGAAAGCTTTCAAGTTGGCAGTGCGTTTCAGCTTTCTCTTTATGTCCTTTGTGAATCAAAAGATTATCTTCTGGGCTCAAAAGAATGAGACAACTTCTAAGCCACCAATCTCTATGCACTTGAGTCCTTTAAGGAACTGGGCCTTGCCCTACAGATATATTCACTATTGGACATGACATGGCTGTTTTCTCAAAGACCATTTTAAACAGAGACTCTCCAAACCTTTTTTAAAAATCAAACTTCTAGAATATTTTGTTCATATTTATATATACAAACACATACTTTCATTTAGAAGACCAAGGGGACAATTGAAAAGTACTTACTAGGAGTCATTGGGTAACTATGACACCTGTCTCAAAACAGAAATTACCCAACAGCTTGTTTTTAAGGCTTACACTCTACAATTCTCTCTTAAGAGCTGGGCCCCAGAAATAGCTACTCATCCATCAGGGCTCCATAACCAGCAGAAAAGGCTGTCCTGGGACAAGCTGGATCATCTGATGAATGAGGAACAACAGCTGCTTTGGCAAGAGAATGAGAGGCTCCAGGCCGTAGTACAGAATACCAAAGCCGAACTCACGCACTCCAGGGAGAAGGTAACTTGAGAAGCTGCACGTCGTGGTGTATGTTTGCAAATGACAAGTTTGATATGAAAATGAATGTTGGATGTGATTGGAATGGTTCTAAGGTAGGAATTTGAGTATCTTGCTATAGCAGACTTATTTTAAGAATGTGTTATTTATCATTTGCTCACATACAATTTTATCCTGGTTTATAAAATAGTTTTATATTATATTTGTGATTTTAATCTTCATATCCAAAATATAGACTCATGGAAATTATGTGAACCATATATTCTTCATTCAAACTGGCTGGCCACCAAGACTAGTAGTATAAAAACGGCAAAACTAGACTCAGATCTTGCAGGTCTCAGTATCTCATTATGAGAGAAAAAGGTGCCTCCTTTAAAACACAACATTTCAAGGTTAGAATGATCTTCAAAGGTCTTTTCCAACCACCACCCTGGTGCTTGAATTCCTTACCTCTGCTATATAGTCCCCCAATGATATTTAACTTATGCTTAACACCTCTTTTGAGGAGGAACTCTGAAGAGTTGCAGATACTCAGAATACCTACTCCATGCCAGAAACTCTGCTATTGCTGACAGTGGCGAGCAAGACAGACATGGTTCATGTCCTCATAGAACTGCTTTAGATGTGAAAAGTCCAATACAGAGCAGATGGGACTGTTAGCTCATTCTCTCCTAAAAGTAGTGTTCATGTCAGAAAAAAAGGGGCCTGGGATTGCTGTGCCTGTTTTCCTGGCAGCCACATCACATACACTGTTGACTCCTGACGCACAAGTCCCCTCTTCCCTGTCTTGTTCCTACAGTGTTGGGTTTGTAGACCCAACCAGACTTACCTAGGGGGTCTTTTGAGATCCGGAAGAGTAAGCTTCAAGTATTTATAGGCTGGACTGAAAAGGAAGTTACAACAGGACCCAAGTACTGAATTGAAGCTTTCCCTGTTGTTTTTACTGGCTGGGTGATTGTATTAGCATTTCTTCCTCATACATTTGTTCTTATTAGGTACGTCAACTGGAATCCAACCTTCTTCCCAAGCACCAAAAACATCTAAATCCATCAGGTGCTGTGAAACCCACAGAGCAGGAAAAATTGAGCTTAAAGAGAGAGTGTGATCAGTTTCAGAAAGAAAGATCTACTAACAGGAAGGTGAGTTTTTGAAAGTATATGGCATGCATCTATGCTTTCATTATAATGTGTTCCTAAGGGTGTTTCTTCTGAGGTGCACTTCTAAGGAAATGATTACAGTGGCGTATTTTGGGTCTTATATCTCTTTATGCTGTTGTTACCTTGTCAAAATAGCATCATGGTCCTTTTTGATTGAATAATGGTTGAATGAAGAACAATTTAAGCTTTCTTAAAGACAGTTAATCATCTGTATTAATATTATAAGCCTTTATAAGTTGGCAAAATATTTATCACCCTAATATTAGAAACATTTTAATGTGAGCTGTATTTTTTGTTGTTATCTAACAAAACAACAAACATTTGTTGTCTTATCTACAAGTCAGAAAGTCAGAAGCAGCTTAGCTGGGTGATCTGACTCAGGGCTCTCTTGAGGTTGCAGTCTAGATGTTGTTGGCCAGGCCTGCAATTATCTGAAGGCTTCACTGGGGCTAGAGGATTTACTTTCCAAGCTCATTCATACAACTGTGAGCAAGAGGCTTCCGTTCCTTGCCAGCTGCTTGCCTGAGACCTCAGCTCTTCACTACCTGGGCCGTTTGTCAGGGTATAGCATCTGGCTTCCGCAAGGAGTGATGAAACAGACACTGATGCCAAAAGACCAAGACTGAAGCTGTGGTCCCTTGTATGATCTAATCCTGCAATTGACATACCAACATTTCTGCTGCATTCTGTTTGTCACACAGACTAACCCTAGGTTACTGTGGGAAGGGACTGTATGAGGGTGTGAATAGCAGAGGTGGGGCTCTTTGGGGCCTCTTGGAGGCTGGCTACCCCATGGTCACACCTCTGCAGTGCCACTCAGTTTGCTTTCTGTACTTCATCCCATAAAGTTAGAGTTCAAGACCAGACTTCTCAGAGTTGTTACTTTTCCTTTTCTACACTGAAACTCAGTTTTCACTGTTACCTCTTTATATAAAATATGCTTTGCTTAGAAATTTGAGAGAAATATTTCATTAGAAAATATTCATAAAATTTTTGTTTTTTGTGAAAGTTATGACCATTTGCAGTAAGAAGGTCGGTTGTGCTCTAAAGCCGAAATTTCAGGAACATTCAAGTAAACTTTGCAGAAAGAAAATGGGTTTTATCTAGCTGCTCACGAGGGAGGAGGGGGGAAAGTCTGTGATAGGCTTTTAAATAACGTTGAATTTTAAAATGGACCTGGAAGACTACACTTCTGTTTCACAATTCTTGCTATTCTCAGCTCTTTTTGATAGAAGCAGTCAGCTTTCTAAGGTAATGTTGTATGTTTTTAACTGAGCAATATTTTGTCCTCTAGTTGACTAGGTTCTTCCTGTAGTAAAGAGATAAAAATGAGTACTCAAAATCTTTCAAATGGAGAAGTTATATAAATCAGGTTTTATGTACCCTCCATTTTAAGCCTTTAACTTTGCCTTAAGACAGTATTTTTCCTACTGCAGATCCATAGTAGAGGATTATGAAATCAATTTAATGGAAACCAGCATTTTTTATTAATATACTACAAAATATCAGCGTACATGGCCCATGGTAAGGGTATTTCAGTGACAGGTACTTACTGTACATATATGTGGGTGTGTGTACTGTGTTGTAAAATGCATTTCTTACAGTGGGTGGCATCCAAGTCTAAAAAGCCAGCTGCCTTAAGAAATCTATTCTGTGCGAAGATAGGCGATTAAAACTAGATTACTTCAATGTAAGCAATACACTGATTGTATTATTTGTTTTCTGCCACGGAATTAACTTGGCTTTCTTCCAAGAGTTGAGATTTCTGACAAGCACAGATTTGTGAACATAGAACAACTCAAGTGTTTTTTTGTTTAAAGGGAATATTTCGTTTTTGGAAACAGGTCAGTCAGATGAATTCCCTTGAGCAAGAATTAGAAACAATTCATTTGGAGAACGAAGGCCTGAAAAAGAAACAAGTAAAACTGGATGAGCAGCTCATGGAGGTAAGTTTCTCAGCAGATGGCCTTAGCTATGAAGAATATTTTAATCCATGAATGAGCCATTGGTTGATAGAGACTAGACATGGCATTGAATTCCTGTTGTGAATCTGTAAGTACACTGCCAAGTTGAATTCTTTGGTCTGTCTTACCAAGTTTATTAGACAACTTTGCTGAATTATACTGTCATAGGAAGCTATACTGCTTTTCAGAGAAAGTAATAACGGTGACTGACCTAAAATGCAAAGACCTGTACCTCTACAAAACCAGTTGGCAGGGACTCCCTGATACTAGCCAAGGGGCCCTGAGCACTCTTGCCATCACCGTGTTTATACCAGTTTCCTGATCCCTCCTATATTGCAGGATTTTATAGATATGATTGGTGTCTAGCACCTTCTTCAGTTGGGAAATCCATGCAGGAAATTTGAGAGCATTGACATTTAGGAGTTTTAATTTCAAGTGCTTCTATTCTTCATTACTACATTCAAAACTCAGCACTGCCTTGTGAGAGATATATCTGATAACTATGAAAATATATTTGTGGTGGCATAGTGGTTCCTACCAGTAAACCCAGCACTTTGGGAGGCTGAGGGAGGCAAATGGCTTGAGTCCAGAAGTTCAAGACCAGCCTGAGCAACATGACAAAACCCTGTCTCTACAAAATAAAAAAATTACAAAAATTAGCCCAGTAAGGTGGCGTGTACTTGTAGTCCCAACTTCTCAAGAGGTTGAGGCCGGAGGATTGCTTGAGCACAGGAGCTGAAGGTAGCAGTGAGCCGAGATCACACCACTGCACTCCTGCCTGGGTGACAGAGAAAGACCCTGTCTCAAAAAAAAAAAAAAAAAGGGATTTGTAAAACTAACTTACCAGCTTGAATGTTGGGTTCCAGTCATCTAGATTGCTTTCTGATTAAGGAGTTCCATTATAGTATATAACAAACTTATGTATAAATTCTTATTTTTTATTTTATTGAGACAGAATCTCGCCCTGTCACTCGGGCTGGAGTGCAGTGGCACGATCTCGGCTCACTGCAACCACCACCTCCTGGGTTCAAGCAATTCTCCTGCCTCAGTCTCTCGAGTAGGTGGGATTACAGGTGTGTGCCACCAAGCCCAGCTAATTTTTTAAATTTTTAGTAGAGATGGTGTTTCATCATATTGGCCAGGCTGAAAATCCTTCTTAATAAGAATTTCATTGATATACCTTGGGTAGATAAAATTAGTCAATCTAACACTTAGTGAACTATAAGACTTAGGTAAGGCAGAGAAGAACATGTAGAAATTGCCTTTTTGTGCTCTTAAAAAGTACTATGTATACACATGTTTTTAAGCCAGAATCATAAGAAATGGGGCTGGGCGCAGTGGCTCACACCTGTAATCCCAGCCCTTTGGGAGGCTGAGGCAGGTGATCACATGAGGTCAGGAGTTTGAAACCAGCCTGGCCAAAATGGTGAATCCCTGTCTCTAGTAAAAATACAAAAAAATTAGCTGGGCGTGGTGGTGGGTGCCTATAATCCCAGCCAGTCGGAAGGTTGAGAATCGCTTGAACCTGGGAGGCAGAGGTTGCAGTGAGCCAAGATCGTGCCATTGCACTCCAGCATGGGCAACAAAGCGAGACTCCATCTTAAAAAAAAAAAAAAAAAAAAAAAAGGAAAAAAAGAGAAACCCCAAATAAAAAAAAAAAAAAAAAAAAAAAAGAAAGACCAAATTGGAATATTTAAGTATTTTCTTTTATGAAGCTGGCCACATGCAAAGGTAGCTTTTAAAAACCAAGTATTGATTTTTAATGTGAAATCTTATACCTATTTATTCTAATAAAACTTTCATTAGGAAATAGAACTGAATTATTGGCCAGGTGCAGTGACTCACGCCTGTAATCCCAGCACTTTGGGAGGCCAAGGTGGACAGATTATGAGGCCACAAGTTCAAGACCAGCCTGACTAACATGGTGAAACACTGTCTCTACTAAAAATACAAAAATCAGCCAGGCATGATGATGCGCGCCTGCAATTCCAGCCACTTAGGAGGCTGATGCAGGAGAATCGCTTGAACCCGGGAGGCGGAGGTTGCAGTGAGCCGAGATTGTGCCACTGCACTCCCGCCTGGGTGACAGAGCAAGACTATTTAAAAAAAAAAATGAATTATTAACGCTATATTTATACAAACTGGTTATTTTTTTGAGATTCTGTCACTCAAGCTAGAGTACAGTGGCATGATCACAGCTCACTGCAGCCTTGAATTCTTGGGTTCAAGCAATCCTTCCACCTCAGACTCCCAAAGTATGGGGAGTTCCCGAATCCCTCCTATATTACTCCAGATTGGAGTTTTTAAAAACAGGATTATTGAGGTATCATTTACATAGTATATAGTTCACATATTTCAGGTGTACAATTCAATGATTTTTTTGTATATTAATTTTTAACCTGTGATAAATACATACCTAACATATAATTTGCCATTTTAGCCGTTTAAAAATGTACAATTCAGTAGCATTCATTAAATTCACAACATCCTACAACCATTGCCACTGCTTCCAAAACCTGTTCATCACTCCGAACAGAAGCTGTAACCATTAAGCATTAACCATTCCCCTTCTCCAGCCCTACAAACTGGGTTTTTATTTATATTATGATATCTATAGAGTAGGTTAATTTGGGGGATGCACAGTGGTTTTCATACCTTCTTTTGTGCCCTAGATCACCTGAGGGATAGGTACATTGCTTCTCACTCTGGCAGGGATTCTTACCTCATTGGGGCCGCAGATGGTAAGCTGGGCGGGGACAAGTTTCTGCCTCAGAACTGGAATCAGGGAATTTAAGCAAAGCTCTCTTCATGATTCTGATTTGACATACGCACTCCCTTGTGGGAAATAGGCTCTCCTCATCTGTATATACTAGTTTAACAGTCACAGTTCTAATGTAACATATCCCCCACTATAATTACTCGACTAGGAAAAGGAAAAATTAGGATTAGTATTTGACTCCTACTTCAGGGCTTTTTCCACTGTGAGCAGTTCAATAAACAATTCGTTCTAAACATTCAACAAAAGGGTTACAGGCTATATCAGCAGTTCCTAGGTCTCCTGTGTACCTCTGTGATAGCCAACAGTTCAGACACTTGAACAAGAAAATGATTTATACTTTATACTATATTCTGCATCTCCAAGTGGCAAGAGATTTAACATCAGGTCCATTCCATACTGGACCTGGAATAATCTTTATTATTTTTGAGACAGAGTCTCACTCTATCACCCAGGGTGGAGTGCAGCGGTGTGGATCTCGGCTCACTGCAACCTCTGCCTCATGGGTTCAAGCGATTCTCCTGCTCAGCTCCCAAGTAGCCAGAACTAAAGGCCCACATGCCACCTTGCCTGGATAATTTTTCTATTTTTGGTAGAGACGGGGTTTTACTATGTTGGCCAGGCTGGTCTCGAACTCCTGACCTCAAGTGATCTGCCCACCTTGGCCTCCCAAAGTGCTGGGATTACAGATGTGAACCACCATACCCGGCCTGAATCTGGAATCTTCTAATTCATGATATTGAGGGGGTACAAAGAGAATACAGTAAGTGTAGATGCACTTGCAGAATTAGAGCTGTAGGACATTTTAGTGTTGAAAATTTATACACGAAAAAATGTAAATGTTGGTCTTTCATATGCTCTTATTCATGTATATAATATACCTAATTAGTACTGTTCTTTCCTTTTATAACTCATACTTTTCTCCTTTTATAACTCCTATAATTTTCTTTTCTTTTTGTTTTGTCTGTGGCTAACCTGTACCTAGAACTCAGTGGTTGGAAGTAGCAGAGAAGGGTGCAGTTCTCTGCCTGAGATAGTGTGTGAAGGTAGAACTTTCTCTTTCAATGAACTTTCATAGCATGGAGCCATCTCATTCAACCCCTTGCTCATATTATCCTTTCTGTTGCTCATAACAGTTACTAAGAATTTAAGATGAGAGCCAGTATGCATTTTGTTTTAATGGTGTAATATGTCTGGTTGCATCAGACTTTCCCTCAGTATTTAAAGCATTCTGTATGAAGAAAATTATCCCACTGCTATAAAATTATGGGATAATTCTCCATAATTTGTATCATGAAAATAAAGTGATTTTCTGAATCTACAACTGGAAGTATTTTCAAAGTGGGCCATGCCCCTACCCCCACCTAGAAATTTTGCTCTAAGGAAATGGATAGTGGCTCTGCAGTTTCACAACATTTCATTATAGCCAAGTCTTAGAGGGTCCTTTTCCACCTTCTTACAAGCCTAGAGGTGCCGCTTCTTGAGCTTAGTCCTTGGTCATGTTTGTTGCATGCTCAGCGAGTTTACAGGCGTGAAGTGGCCTGCCTCACTGGCCCAAATGCCACGTATCCTTCTCCCTTTCCTCTCCCTGACTTGGACTGGCATGTTGATGCACATTTCCTCATGGTCTTGAATACTCCCATTCCATGTTCTCTGGTTCCCAGATGCTCCAGGATATTATTGCTTTATGCTCCAGAATTGTCTTAGTTGTACTGTTTCACCTAAGGGTGTAACTGCATATTGATAAACTAAAGGTAGGTTAAAATAATTTTAGATCCAAGATGAAGTTCTTCAGAAAACTTGCTAACTCAGGGTTGGAAAAAATGTAGTCATTGAACATTTATCTTTATGAATGGTAAGTAAAGTGGTAAAACTCTAAAGCATAACCACTTTCTCCCCCGATTTCCTTACTCCAACCCCAGTTTTAAAAAGGAGGGAGGTAATTTTTCCAGTGTAAAAAAAAAAAGAGATGGAATTCAGATGTATTATGTACATCATGCCCTTGTTGGGAAGTGTTTTTTTTTTTAAGTCTAAAACTTTTAAGAAAGTCTACTTATTAAGCATATTATCTACTAAGCAAAATAGCTCTTCTCATTTCCATCTTCCTCAGGCCCAAGTGCTGTCCTGTTTCTAAGTTTCAGTGGGTCTGAGGTTATGAATGAATTTGTAGCCTTCATTCCTCACTGCTGGACACCATCAAGGGCAGCTCTGGGATTGAAGGCACTCAGCTGACCAGAGCTTTGCCGTTGTCCTTCAGATGCAGCACCTGAGGTCCACTGCGATGCTTAGCCCCTCCCCTCATGCTTGGGATTTGCAGCTGCTCCAGCAGCAAGCGTGTCCGATGGTGCCCAGGGAGCAGTTTCTGCAGCTTCAACACCAGCTGCTGCAGGCAGAAAGGATAAACCAGCACCTGCAGGAGGAACTTGAAAACAGGATCTCCGAAACCAACACACCACAGGTATGAAGCTCTCTTTTCTCTAGTAGTAAACTCAGATCACCTGTTAATTTTACCCGATTATTTGAAAGTTATACCAGTTCAAAGGTGGAGAGAAAGAACCTAAATCTGGTGGGACACACCTGTAGTCCCAGCTACTGGGAGACTGAGACAGGAGGATCATTTGAGGCCAGAGGTTCAAGGCTGCAGTGAGCTACGATCATGCCTGTGAATAGCCGCTGCGCTCCAGCCTGGGCATCATGGCAAAACTCCATCTCTTAAATTTAAAAAACAAAATAAAATCGTCACCCTAAATCTTCTTTTGGAGAGTTATATTTTACCTGTATGACAAATCCATAGAACTGCAGTGCGTTTTTTTGGGTTGTGCAGTGCTACTTTTGAGCTTTCAGTGTCTAAGCGGAGTCATTTAGTGTTCTGAGACTCCTTTGCCCATTTGTAATAGACGATGAAGTATCAGGATCACTTAAACATAGTGCACAATTGGCCTAATGTTCCCATCCCATGCCAAAAATAAATATTACAAAGTTTAAATGTGGCTAGGATATGTGCTACTAACAAAGTACACTGAGCTTTCCTGTGCCAGAGCCCTGCAGCCTGCTGCATTCCATGAAAATCGCAAGCGAGGACTGTTCACAACAAAGTGTAGTCAGTGACATCGTTCTAGTTGACATACTTCATTTAAGTTATCCAGTTCAAAAAACTAAGATCAAGATCTTCTCATTGTTTCCATCAACATGATCCCAGCTTACCACCACATCCAATCTTGTGTTAGGTTTATTTCTCTTTAGTGCATTCATCATCCTTCTCAGAAGTTTAACTCTCGGGACCTGCCCATTTCGTTAATTCAGAATTAGGAATAAAGAAATAGAAACTCCTTCTTTGTGGGATTCTACATTAATTTTTTCTGGTTTGCATGCACTTGTGTTTTCAGATACCTTTCCTCTCAGTTAATACTTGATAAGGAATTTCCCATCTCCATTTAAATCCCCTCAGAGTGGCTTTGCAAAGTCTTGTTAGCCCTGGAACTATACATAGGAGCAGTTCTATTTCTTCTCCTGGTATCTATGCTTTATTATGAAGTACTCCTATCACCTGTCAGTTCGAATCAACTTTTCCCTCTACATGCATACCTATATTTCTAATCAGCTTTAGAAGGCTTTTGTCTTATGAGCTTTAAAATCTGTTTTTGAAAGCTTTATACATATCTCTTCAACTTCCCAATATTAAAGGTCTTAAATTGTGATGGTAGAGTGTTAGAGAAATGCTTTAACTCTTCATTATGTAATTGAACTACAAAACTTTGACCTCAGTTTTTAGTGGACCTTCTAACCGAATGATCCTGCCAAGATTCTACTCATTACTCTTTTACACACTATTTTCAAAGCATGCTCTTTCCAACCCACCCACCAATGTTAAAAAGGATCCTTCTATCTAATCCTGAAAGAATTGGAGGAAAAACAGTTAAGATTTTTGGAAAAAAGAAAAATCCTCCAACCAGCTGACAAGGGTAGACTACTTATTACTCTCACCAGAATGCTATTGCAGGCTCTCCCATTTCCTGCTGCTGAGCTGACGCTAATTTTAGGAATATAGATTATTAGAATCTGCACGTTTCTGTGTGTGGCGTGATGTGATCTCTTCTGCGTTTGTGTTGCTTTGCTTGCCTATGTAGTGTTGATGTGTGTGCTTTTAAAAAGTGTTTGCATTATAAATGTGTGAATTTAGACTCCCCCTAAAAACTCATCCTGACATGAGGGTGAAGTGTACCACTTGCCTTCTTTCTCTAGGCCTTGCTACTGGAGCAGCGAGCAGTGCATGCAGATTCCTACAGAAGGATTGGGCACCTGTGAAAACTGGGCTGCTATGGATGGCATTTCTTACCATGGCAGACAGACGCACACACCCACCCATGCACACACACCACACACAGAGACATAAGCTATGTTGGAATCAAGTGCTCTTTTAAATTATTTATTTTTACTGTTAAACCTTTGCAGTATTATGTCTCTTATTTATTTATGTAGAAATGACAGATCTTGTGAATCAAATTCACAAACATCAGCTTGTTACAAATCATTTTATTTATACGCTTTAAAGAGTGTGGATTTAAGATTCTTGAAAGATGTAGTCTATATATTTTCTCATTCCATATGTTGTAACTATTTTTAACAAAAGGTACTACTTTTATATATGGAATTTGAAGAAAATCAGGGGTATTTATACTGTTTTGTATAAGATGTATAAAACTTTTTGACAGGAAAATTTTGATGAAATAAAATAAATTTTAAGTATATGACTGCCTTTGTTTTTCCTGTTTTTCCACTCTTTTGCCAACTCTGTTCTTTGAATTATCTCTTATGTTTTTTTGTTTTGCTTTGTTGAGCAAGTAGTTATCAGACTTATAGTATTTATGTCTGAACTTTAAAAAGCTATTTTTTTTAAATGTCAGCCTTTTCAAAAGCTAGATGTTCTCCAGGCCCAACTTCTTGTAATTTACTTCCTGCATTAGACCTTTGCTTACAGTTTCTATCCTCAGGATAGCTACTACATGATTTAGGGTTTGATGATGAAGTGTGACTAATATCCAAACAGATGGTTGTCTTTGACTTACATTTGGTCATTCTACATGTCTTTTAAAGTGTGTCTTAACTACCATCACCCGTTAACACCTTTTTGAAATCTGAAATTCCTCATGGGGACGTTTTTTGGTGGACTGCAGAGGGATGGGGGGTGGGAGGCGGTTGGCTGCATTCTGATCTCTCTAGGTCTTGCTGCTCTCCAAAACCCACTTACTTCTTAACCTATCACTATTGTGTGAGAAGAGAGGAGGAGATTTTTAATTTTCAGTCTGCTTTGGTAATAAACCCATCCTCCAATCCAGATGTGTGCTTCACATTTACAAGTGGGAAACAGATGACTAGAAAAATTGGCAGGAAGAGGCTGCTTATTATGAAGAAAGAAACTAACACCCTCAGAGTCATCAGCTGCTTCAGAGGAAAAACAGACATGCCTATTGCAAGCTGATTGGAAATCTTAGGAAACGCTGAATACAGTCAGTGTTTGTTTTGTTGTTAAGAGGCCCACAACATTGCAAAGACCCAAATCACTGATGGGAGGTGATAACTATCTTTTATCTTGGATGTCCATTTTACTAGAAGTACACACAGGTATTAAATTATGGGTTTTAAAGAATTTTGGTTTATATCAGGGGGACGATGGTAACACAGGTAAGATTCTTTTTTTTTAAATCTGATTATTTGTCTGATAGGGTTACTTTTCTTACATGTGCAATCCAGGCAGGGCTCAAAACTCCCATTTCATCAGAAATCCATCCTTCCTGTTACAAAGGCAAAACATTTGCTGTCCTTTCTCTAGGCATTTTGTGGGGAAAATAAACCAGTGTTTTCTTTTCAGTGTGACATGATTTTCAAATGATAATGCAGTTTTCTTCCCTTCAGGGAAACCAGGAACAACTGGTAACTGTCATGGAGGAACGAATGATAGAAGTTGAACAGAAACTGAAACTAGTGAAAAGACTTCTTCAAGAGAAAGTGAATCAGCTCAAAGAACAAGTGAGCCTCCCCCGTCATCTCTGTTCACCCACCTCACATTCCAGCTTTAGCTCCAGTTTTACATCCCTCTATTGCTATTAACTCGTTAACTTATGTTGGCTAACAAAGGCAAATTCTATTCTAAGTGTCTACAAGAACTTAGGATTTGCTCTCCCTCTTACCACCCCAAAAATATGAACTCTGTTTTTTCCAAAGCTCTGTTTAAGGCATGTTTGTTCACAATTTAAAAGTGTAAATCTTTACTAACATTCAGATGGTCCTAAAATTTTAAAGATCAAAAAAACTGTTGATTCATATGGACCTAAAGCATGTGAATGGATATGTTTTAGGTCCATGTGAATCAACAGATTTTCTTCTGCCCAAGACAGGAAATGTTCCTATTTAAATTAGAAAAAATGACATAGGTTTGAGGGGCTGAAGACTGAAAAAGAAAAGAAAAATGACATGGGTTTAAAAGAAGGGGCGGGGGAGATAAATAGAACTTTAGCTTTCATGTTCCCAAAAGCTTCTGAAAAACCTCAAAAAACTATCTTACTGCTACAGCCAGACTCCAAAAAGATGTACTTTGAATTAGAGGACCACTAATCAATCTGTTCCTTTTCATCTGCTGGTGGCAGTTGTGGCCTTGGTGTTTAGAAATTAGTTGTGCATCCCCTGACGAGGCATGCAGAAAGTACTACCCTCTGGAAGAGCGTTATAGCCTCTCTGGAAACTGAGACTGAGACAAACAGGTGGGGGGCAGAAATTGCCCAACCTAGTTCTTTAGATAATTAAGACCTAAGAATAATCCTCCCAAGAGAGGGTCTGAATTCATTTGTAGACAGGAACTTTCTGTTGGCCTGTATCTTAATACACAGAGAAGAAAAAGTCTTGCTGAGTGAGCATTTATTCATTCAGTTCTTAACGTATTCAGGCATTCAACACGTAGTTACTGTGGGCCAGGTCCTGCTGTACACACATGGGTACAGCAGTCAACAAAGTCCCTGCCCAGCTTGGCCAAACGGTAGGTTCAGAAATAAATAAGATCCGTCTGTTTTCAGTAGACGGGAACACAAGAGAAGAGATATTTGAAGCAAGCTTCCTGAAGGCCTCTTAAGCTGCATCTTGAGGGTTGAGTAAGATTTCAGCGGTTAAGAAATTGTGGGAAGGGCATCCTAGGCTGTGGAAACATCGTGGAGTTATGGCAACATGTGGGGTATGGACACGTATCATCACGTCTGCACTGACAATTCACATTGTCCTGGGAGAGGCAGGAGGGGAGACTAGAGAGGAAGGAGGAACAGGACAGTTGGCCTCCAGTGCTGAGCCAAGGAGCTTCAGTTTTATTCTGTCCGTGATGAAGAGCTATCAAACTAGTTTTTGTTTTGTTTTTTATTTTTATTTTTGGAAAGGAAAAGGGAGGGAGAGAGGAAGGAAAAAAAAGTTGTATTCAGGAGGTTCAACAGAGAATAGGTTCTGAAATATTAGTGATAGCTGCCAGTCATCTAGGTTGAGTGCTGTCATCCTTATCCTTCCTAATAAGTTGTTAAGCCACTCTTTTAGTTGCTTTTTATTCTCATAAACCTTTATAGTTTTAGATGCCCTACTTGAAATTGGGTATAAAATGAACAGTTAAAAGGTATAACATGGGAAGGGAGACTGGAAAATACTAACCAGAATGACAATGAAAGTATCCCAAGGCACTGCTAACAAGTTTTCCCACCTCAACCTAGACTATATATTCTT